ACGCTCGAAGACGGCCCAAGAGGCCTCCAAGAGCGCCCCAGAACGGCCCAAGAGGTTTCCAAGAGCGCCCCAAGACAGCCCAAGAGGGCCCCAAGACGACCCAAGAGACGCTCAAGACGGCCCACGAGGGCCCGAAGACAGGCCCAAGAGGGGGCCAAGAGGGGGACCACGGACCGAAAATCCGAGCCTTCCGCCCCAAGAGGGCGCCAGGAGGCCCAAACAGGCCCCCAAGAGGCCCCAAGGGGCCGCCAAGAATCCCCCGAAGAGGCCCCAGGAGGCTCCCAAGGAGCCCAAACGAGGCCCCTACAGAGGCCCCAACAGCTTCCAAAATGGCCCCGAAGAGGCCTCGAGCCCGCCTCCGAGCTTCCTCGCCGCGAGGGTGCCAACACGGCCCCAGACCGGCCCAGGACGGCCCAAGGCGCGCTCAAGACGGCCCAAGACGATTCCAAGACGGTCCCAGGAGGGTGCGCCCAGGACGGCCCAAGGACGCGCCCGTTCGGGGCCTCAAGACGGGCCAAGATGGCAAGAGAGTCCCAGCTGGCAAAAATCGTTAATTTTCCATTGTTTACTGTTACACCCTTTGCGTTTCCCGCCGTTTCGGCGGTCCGATGCACCAAGAGGCCCCAGAAAGTCCCAGGAGGGTCCGAGGAACCGCCCAGGAAGGCCCCAAGACGGGCCAAGACGGACCCAGCACAACCCAAGGCGCGCTGCGACGGCTCAAGACGGCTCCAAGACAGCCCCAAGAGGGTGCCAACACGGCCCCTGCTGGGCCCAGGACGGCCCAAGGAGGCGCACAGGAGGGGCCCAAGACGACTCCAAGGCGGCCCCCTCACGGTCCCAGACGGCTCCAAGACAGCCCCACGAGGACCCCGATGGGCCCAGGACGGCCTACGGACGGCCCATGAGGGGCCCACGACGAACCAAGACGGCCCCATCACGGCACACGGCGCCCTCAAGACGGGCCTGGACGGCTCCAAGACGGCCCTTTGAGGGAGCCAACGCGGCCCCACACCCTTCGGGCGCACACTTGGGGGGGCTGGGAGCTTGCGACAAGTCTCCCACATTCATTGTCCTGCCCCATTCTGTTCGCCTGGAGGCCTCCTCCAACCCTGTGGGCGAACAAGAGGAAACCCAGCGGGCCGCCAACCCTGGGGCCCGTGGGCCCCGCGCCGCTTGGGCAGAAGACGAACGCCGGGTCTGACAGGCCAGCTACCGCCCCCCTTTGCCCGATATGCTGTGCCATTCTGTTCCCCCAGGGGCCTTGGCAAACTCTTCGGGCCAAGCAGACCGGACCCCTGGGACAGCAGCCAATTGATATGACCCTGGGACCTCTCCGCATTCTTCGGACGAGCATCTGGGGGGCCCAGGAGATTCGGACATGTCTTCCCCATTCCTTGCCCTGTCCCGTTCTGTTCGCCCGAAGGCCTCCACAGACCCTCTGGGCGAACAGAATGGGACATGGCGAACAAACCCTCCCGTTGGCGGTGATGCGACTGGATCGCACCATCAAGGCGCGCCCGGAGGTGATGGCCGACCCAACAGCGGTTTCTCTTAAGAGTTCACTGGATTTCAAATTTTCTTGAAGCTCTCTTGGGCCCTCCCTGTAGATCCTTGCGAGCCTCCCCGGCGCTTTCGGTGGCTTTCCCCGATGGCCTCCCGAGCCCTTCCCCGAGCGCTCCTGAGACGCCTCAGATGGGCTTCGACTTCGACGCACATCCCCGAGAGACTTCGAAACTGTCCTCAATAGGAGGGGGGTGAACGAGCAGTGCGCTGGGCCAAGCTGCTGCAGCGCTGCAAGAGCTCGGACACGAAGGCGCGGTCTCGCTGCCGCCGCCCGAGCCGCCGCCGTGTTTGTAGATTTTCGGTGCAATCTGCGCCGTTCCTCCGAGAACCATTCCAGAAAGATGTCGTGGACGGAGTCCACGGGTCAGCCCTAGTCAGCTACAACGCCGGGATCAGCGCTTGCGAGAAAGGTCAGCAGTGGCAGCGGGCCCTGTCGCTGCTCAGCGAGATGTTGGGGTCGAAGTTGGAGCCCGATGTCATCAGCTACAGCGCCGGGATCAGCGCTTGCGAGAAAGGTCAGCAGTGGCAGCGGGCCCTCGCTGCTCAGCGCGAAGTTGGAGCCCACTGTATCAGCTACAACGCCGGGAGCGCTTGCGAGAAAGGTCTAGCAAGAGCCAGGATATCAGCTTCAAGAAGCCGTGGCAGCCAGGGTCAGCAGTGGCAGCGGGCCCTGTCGCTGCTCAGCGAGATGTTGGGGTCGAAGTTGGAGCCCACTGTTCAGAGAAAGGTCAGCAGTGGCAGCGGGCCCTGTCGCTGCTCAGCGACGAAGTTGGAGCTGGGCCGGGATCAGCGCTTGCGAGAAAGGTCAGCAGTGGCAGCGGGCCCTGTCGCTGCTCAGCGAGATGTTGGGGTCGAAGTTGGAGCCCACTGTTATCAGCTACAACGCCGGGATCAGCGCTTGCGAGAAAGGTCGGCAGTGGCAGCGGGCCCTGTCGCTGCTCAGCGAGATGTTGGGGTCGAAGTTGGAGCCCACTGTCATCAGCTACACCGCTGGGATCAGCGCTTGCGAGAAAAGTCAGCAGTGGCAGCGGGCCCTGTCGCTGCTCAGCGAGATGTTGGGGTCGAAGTTGGAGCCCGATGTCATCAGCTACAACGCCGGGATCAGCGCTTGCGAGAAAGGTCAGCAGTGGCAGCGGGCCCTGTCGCTGCTCAGCGAGATGTTGGGGTCGAAGTTGGAGCCCGATGTTATCAGCTACAACGCCGGGATCAGCGCTTGCGAGAAAGGTCAGCAGTGGCAGCGGGCCCTGTCGCTGCTCAGCGAGATGTTGGGGTCGAAGTTGGAGCCCAGCTACAACGCCGGGATCAGCGCTTGCGAGAAAGGTCAGCAGTGGCAGCGGGCCCTGTCGCTGCTCAGCGAGATGTTGGGGTCGAAGTTGGAGCCCACTATTCTCAGCTACAGTGCCGGGATCAGCGCTTGCGGAAAAGGTCAGCAGTGGCAGCGGGCCCTGTCGCTGCTCAGCGAGATGCGGGAAGGGAAGCTGGAGCCCGACGGCATCAGCTACAGTGCCGGAATCAACGCGTGTCGGAACGGGAAGGAGTGGCAGCGGGCCCTGTCGCTTGTCGTCGAGGTGTTTGAGGTGAAAGTGCAGCCCGACTACAGGTTTCACGAAGCCGCAATCGTCGGCTGCGAGAAGGACGGGGCGTGGCAGCATGCGCTGTGGCTTTTCGGCACGCTGCTGCAGGCGAGGACGGAGCCCACTGTGGCCGCCCGCAGCGCTACGCTCCGAGCCGTGGTCGAGGGCAGGCGTCGAGCCGCCGGAAGCCGACCTTGCTGAGCACTAGACAGCTACAACCGCTGGGATCAGCGCGTGCGCGAAGGGCGAGCAGTGGCAGCTGGCCCTGACGCTGCCGAGCGAGATGTGGGAGGTGAAGTTGGAGCCCGAGGCCATCGACGCAGAGGGGGACCGCGTGCCAGAAGGGCGGGGCGTCAGTGTGGTCAAAACCGGCCAAGGGTCAGCCCCGGGGGGGCTCCAGGACAACAGGAGGGCCCCAAGATGGCCCAAGACGCCTCCAGACGGCCAAAGAGGTCGCCAACAAGGCTTTCGGACGGCCCCTCAGTGCCGGAAGACAGCGCTCCAAGGGGGCACCAAGAAGGGCCCGACGAGGCCACAATCATGTGTTTCTCTCGCGTTTTTGAAGGGTTTCAGCATCCTCATCTTTTCATGGCCTCGACGCTCCAAGTGGCCTCCAGGGCCCCCCAGATCGCGCCGAGATGGCCCGAGAGGCCCCCGAGAGAGCTCCCAGTCAGCCCAAGAGGGCCCCAAGGCGGCCCAAGCGCTCCCCCAAGGCGGCCCAAGACGGCCCCACCGGGAGGGGCCCCGAACTGACCTCTCGCTCCCTCCGCTCCAGGAGGATCCCAGGCACCTCCACCTGGCCCCCATGAGTCCCCCCAGACGCCCCCTCCTCCTCCTCCGAGGACAGCCCCTGGAGGGCCCCGAGAGGCCCTCAAGATGGGCCCCGAGAGGCGAAAATCATACATTTCCCGTGTGTGTGTGTGTGTGTGTGTGTGTGTGTGAGTGTGTGTGTGTGTGTTTGAAGGGTTTCAGAGTTTTCGCCTTTTCGGAGCCGTGACGGGCCCCCAGGATCGCGCCACGATGGCCCAGGGGGCCCCCAAGAAAGCTCCCAGACGGCCCAAGCGGGCCCCAAGACGGCCCAACAGCCCCCCAAGGCGGCCCAAGACGGTCCCAAGAGTGCCCTTACGAGGGGGACCTCGAACTGACATTTCGCGCCCTCCGCTCCACGATGATCCCAGACACCGACAGCTGGCACCCAGGCCAGACGCCCCAGAAGGGCCCCGAAGAGGCCCAAATCAGGTCCCCAAGAGACCCTCGAGAGGCCAGAAGACACCCTGGAAACCGCCTCCAAGAGTCTTCCGAGGGAAGGTCCCGGAGGAGCTCTGGGACCGTGCCGGCCACCCAGGAAAATAATGCCCCGATGCGCCTCCTCGTTTCTGCCCTCCTTTGCAGAGGCTCTGCTGGTCTCCATTCCTCGCCTCTTCGGAGCCTCCACGCCCCAAGCCGGTCCAAAGGGCGGCACCGCGCCGCCCACCCAGGAAAAGAAGGCGCCGATGCGCCTCCCGCTTCCTCCCGTTCTTTGCTAAACGGCTCGGGTCTGAACTGCTCGCATCACCGGAGCCACCACGCCCCGAGCCGCCCGCCCTCGGGCTCCCACGGTCGCGTCACGACTGCCCAAGAGGCCTCCTCCTCCTCCTCCTCCTCCTCCTCCTCCTCCTCTTCCTGTGAGCCCAAGAGGGCCCCAAGGCGGCCTAAGCGCTCCCCAGAGACGGCCCAAGACGGCCCCAGGCCGAGAGGGCCCCACGAGGGGGACCTCGAGCTGACATTTCGCGCCCTCCGCTCCGGGATGACCCCAGACACCGCCAGCTGGCCCCCAAGAGACCCCCCAGGCGCCCCAGCAGGCCCCCCCAGATGCCCAAAATCAGGTCCCAAGAGACCCTCGAGGGGCCAGAAGACACTCCCAAGCCCGCCTCCGAGACGCGAACATGACGCCATCTATCCTGATCGCCTGGCGGCTGCACCCGTTCACCCCGCAAGTGGACGTGGTCCACGGGTCAGCCCTGGTCAGCTACACCGCTGGGATCAGCGCGTGTGAGAAGGGTGAGCAGTGGCAGCGGGCGTTAGCGCTGCTCAGTTGCATTATGGATGCGAGGATCGAACCCAACGACATCTATACTACAATACCGGGCATTTGCGCCTGCGAGAGGGGCGAGCGATGGTCACCCTCGGCGGCGCCCCTGGTGCCCCGCCCGTGGGGTGACGCCGTCCCGGCCCGGGACAGCCCCGGTACGGCCCATGAGGGCCCCGACGGAGGCCTCGAGAGTCTCCCGGGAGCTCCCCAGCGAGCCCGAGAGGGCCCCAGGACGGGCTCGGAGGGCTGTCACGAGCTTCCACGGAGCTCCCAGGGGACCCCCACGAGGGCCCCGAGGCAGCAAAAATATAGATATTCTCAAGGGTTTTCGACGTTTCAGGTGGTGCTCCTCCCGCGCCGCCCCAAGACGCCCACCACGGGCGTCCGAAATCGTGCCCATGCTGCCCAGGGGGCCTCCAAGAGAGCCCCCAAGGCGGCCGAAGAGGTCCCCGATCGAGCTCCCGGGGCCCCCAAGACGGCCCAAGAACCCCCCCAGACGGTCCCAAGGGACGCCCAAGAGGGTCCAGTTCGGAGCGCTTCCCCCCCCTCCGGGCCCTTCCACGGCCAGCAAGGCTCCAAGACGCCCCCGAGAGGCCCCCAGAAGGCCCCAGGGGCGCTCCCAAGAGGCCCCCGGGCGCTCTCCAGAGGCTCCCAGAAGGTTTCAGAGGCGCCCCCAAGAGCTCTCAAGAGGCTCCCAGAGGCTCTCCAGAGGCTCCCACAGAGCCCCACGAGGACCTCCATCCCGGATATCGGAGGGCCCCCCCGCCGCTTCCCCGATGCCTCCGCTGGGAACAGCCTGCTACAGCACGCGGCACTGCTGGCACGACAAGCAGCAGGCTGGACAGCAGGAAGGGGATGAGACGGAGGAGGAGGGCGAGAGGAGGGGAGGAGGAGCATGAGGACGAGGAGGAGGACAAGGTGCAACAGGCGCACGCGACCACCGACCTCGACAACACGCACCTCTTCCCGGCGCGCCCTGCCTCTCTCTTCCTCCTCCACGCCTTCCGTGTTCCTCCCCTTCTCCTCCTCCCTCCTCCGCGGCGCCGGGGCCGGGGCCTCCCTCCTGCCTCCTCCCTGCCTCTCTCTTCCTCCTCCCTCCTCCTTCCGCCTTCCACGCTCCTCCCTCCTCCGCGGCGCCGGGGCCTTTCTCTCGAGCGCACGAGTCTCGCTATAAACCGCGGCGCTCTCCACAGGGGGCCCCCGCCGCGGCCACGCGAGCGATTCACGAGCACCTGCGGTGCGGTCGGCCGAGAAAGCGCCCCCCCAAGACCACTCCTCGGCCCGCCACGTCGACGGAAAATCAGCGCCACGCCCGAGGAGGAGGAGGAGGAGGAGGAGGAGGAGGAGGAGGAGGAGGAGGAGGAGGAGGAGGAGGAGGAGAAGGAGGAGGGGGAGGAGGGGGAGGAGGGGGAGGAGGAGACGTTTTTCGTCCACCTGCGCTCTGGCGCTCTCTCTGGAGCTCTGGGCTTCGTTTCTGCGGCGTTCCGTCTCTATACCCTCCCAGTGCACGACCCGGGGCGCGCCCGCGCCCGCGGAAAATAAAACCGGACCTGGAGGTGTATTTTCCGGTGCCCTGGGGCGGGGCAATTCGCCTTCGCCCAGGACCAGGATGTTCGTCGGCTCGCCACGTCCACGGAATGCCACCACCAACTCTGAAGGTTCCCCACCAGGCTCCGGGTGGGGCGCAAACGTCTCGCACGGACCGTTCGTGGATCAACGGCGCCCGCAAAAAATATCCCGTAACCTCGGAGGCCATTCTCCACGGTCCCGCGGTCGGCCGAGAAAATGCCCCCAAAGACCATCCCTCGGCCCGCCACGTGGACGGAAAATAAACACGCTCGAGGTTTCTTCTCCGAGGTTCCAGGTGGGCTCCAGGGTTCTGGCGAGACGTCTTTCGTCAATCTGCGCTTTGGCGCTTACTCTGGAGTTCTGGGTTTCGGGTCTGCGGAGATGGAGGGTGGAGGAGACGCCGATATTGTGTCAGAGAAAGGCGCGCAGCGGTTCTATCCTCCAGTTCGGCCTCACACGGCTCGTGGCTGCATGCGGGGCGCTGCCCGTCTCCGAGGGTGCGGGCACAAGGGCGCGAAGGTTACTGGGCCTTGGCCTCGCGCGGCGCATCGCCACGAGGTGTTTGGGTGGCACAGGATCTGGGCGTGCTTCCGAGAGGCGATCCAGGCGATTGGCGCAGAGAGGGTGCCAGCCTCTGCCCAGGCTCGGGCCAGACGACATCGGCGGAGGCCGAGTCCACACGCAGACAGTTCGCCTTCAGGAGGGCTCCTCGCCGCCACGGGTGGACGCAGCAGACAACGCTGGCGCGCCTCGACAGTGAGGGGGGGGCCCAGGGACCGATTCTGACAGCTCTGGCCCCCTATTCCTCGGCCGCGACAGCCTGTGCAGGCCCGCGGGGCGCCCCGCAGAACCAGCTCAGGGCGCTGCTGGAAAACGGGCTCGCGCCACGTGGATAGACCTTCGGCAGCGTGTCCGCCGCTCCCCCGAAAACCGTTTTGGCAAGGTGTCGTGGACGGAATCCACGGGTCAGCCCTAGACAGCTACAGCGCCGGGATCAGCGCATGCAAGAAGGGCGTGCAGTGGCAGCGGGCCTTGACGCTGCTCAATGGCATGGGCGAGGCGAGGGCGAAACCCGACGTCGTCCATCTACCCTGCAGCGCTGGGGGAGTCGCGTGCCGGAAGGGGAACTGTTCAGAAGGCTCATGACCAGCCCCGGGGGGATCCTGGAGAGCGCCGGCGCCAGCCAACGCGCCCGAAGAGGCTTGGGACCCCTCCAGATGGTCCAAGAGGTCGCCAATATGGTTTTTAGACAACCCCACCGGGCCGCAAGACGGCCCAAGAGGTGTCCAAGAAGGCCCCAAGAAGGATCGCGAGAGTCCGAAATCATTAATTTTCCATGGTTTCTTTCTGGCTTTAGCGTTCTCGCCTCTTCGGAGTCGCGACGTTCCAGGACGGCCCCAGAGGTCCCACGATATTTCCAAGACGACGGCCCAAGAGGCCCCCATGAGAGTCCCAAGCCCCAAGCCCGCCCCAGGCCTCACACGATCGCGTCAAAATAGCCCAAGAGGCTTCCAAGAGAGCTTCCAGCCCACGAGGGCCCCCAAGACGGCCCAAGAGGCGTCCAAGGCGGCCCAAGGGGGCCCCAAGAGGGCCCCACGGTGGGGAACTCGAACTGGCACTTCGCGCCCTCCGCTCCAAAATGATCCCAGAAACCGCCAACAGGCCCCCAAGAAGCTCCAGGAGGCCCCCCAAAAAGCCCAGATCAGGTCCCAAGAGGCTTACGAACAAAGGCCCCAATACATTCCCCGAGCTGCCTCCAAGAGGACTCCAAGGGACGGCCCCTCAGAGAGCTCTGGGACCGCGCTGGTCACCCAATAAGGAAAATTACCCTGCGACGTACCCCGCCCATTTGCACCAAGTGGCAAGAGGAGTAGGCCAATATCGGCAGGAACAACGACAGTGCAGGCGCGGCGATATGTTGTGCAAGCTACATGGGATGTTGCACGATTCGCAGGACAGCGATCACACGGACGAGGATTGGGACCCCAGGCTCGAAGAAGCAAGGGGGCGGGTACGACGGGCAGGACAGTGACGGAATTGTGGGGGTGTGGAGCCATCGCGGCAGCAGCAGCATGGAGAAGGTGACAGGGGGGTGGGGACTAGGGTGATGATGAAAGTGGCGGGAGGAAGCAGAATTATCCCGCTGCTTTCAGTAGCTGGCTAAACGTGCAGCGCTGCCTGCGCCATATCGCCGCAGTGTTCCACATGATCATACCTGCATGTAGTTAGTGCAAGAAACGAGCGATACTTAGCTCGCCCGTCAGCTTCTCCGCCTCCTTCCTGCACCTCTCAGTGCGGGAGTTGAACGCCCGCAGGCGCGTCGCCAAGTGTGCGGGCGGCCCGCGGGAAAGAAACTCATGGCCAGGGACGCGTGTCATCAGTAGGTTGTTTACCGTCGTCGCCCTGGACAGCATCCATCACGTAGAGGCGCAGCCAGAGTGCGTCCGGGTCGTCCGCGTCCTTGCACCCTGCGTCAACGATAAATCCGCGGGGCATGGTGCGGCCGTGGCAGGCAGTCGGCGTCAGGACCACCACCATCAGCACCACCAACATCATCGTCATCATCATCATTATTATTATTATTCGCATTATCGCCATCGTGGCCATGATCGTCCTCATCATGAGCAGAATCAACATCATCATCGCGCACAGCATCATCATCAGCATCGTCACCATCATCATCACCACCAGCATGGCCATCATTATTATCAGCATCGTCACCATCGTCATCACCGGCGCCACCATCATCAGCATCATTCTCATCAGCAACAACATCACCACCATCATGATGTTCATCATCTGCATCATCATCATCAGCAGCATCATCATTATCATTAGCTTCACCACTTTCTTCATCACCAACATCATCATCACGAACATCACCGCCATCACCATCATCACCGTCAACATTATCAGCATCGGCATACTAGTAACACGCACCACCGCCATCACCATCATCATCCTCAGTTTCGTCGTCATCATCATCGGCATGGTCATCGCTTCTACAACCACTATCAGCATCAGCATCATCTGCAGCAGCACCAGCATCAACATCCGCATCAACACCATCATCGTCTTCCTCGTCACCAGCATCATCATCGTAATCACCATCATTACCATCATGTTTACCGACATCGTACCCATTATCACCACCAACACCCCCATCACCGTCACCATTATCATCACCGACATCACCCGCATCCGCAGCATCTTCAGCATCATCATGATCATCAATTGCATCACCATTATATGCAGCATCCGCATCATCATCATTTCCGTCAACATATACACTATCATCATTATCGTCTTCACTGTCATCGTCAACGCTTCATTACCGTCACCACCACCATGATCATCAACCTCGTCGGCGTCATAATAATATCAATCATCACCAGCGGCATCCGTACCAACATCATCACCATCATCATCATCATCATCATCGTCTCGGGCATAGCCACAATTACCACCATCACCATATTCACCACACTCAGCATCATCGTTCGCAGCATCACCAACAGCATGATTATGAACACCATCATCATCAGCATATCCATCATCAGCAGCATCCGCATCACCACCAGCATCGTCACCATCATCATCATCACTATCATCATCATCATCATCAACATCGTCACCATCATCATCGCCACCACCACCTCCATCATCACCTGCACTATCATCATCAGAATCATCACCATCAACACCATGATCAGCAATATCATCAACACCAACACCAACATCATCATCATTATCACCATCAGACAATTCGCCATCACCATCATCACCGTCGCCACCAACATCATCAACATGAACATCATCAGCATCGCCACTTCCATCGTCATCAGCACCATCTCCTCTGTAACCACCACCATCACCAGCATCGCCACCATCGTCATAAAAAATAACCTTCGCCATCAGGAGCATCATCATCATTTTCATATTCAGCTTCGTCACCGTCATCTTTGTAATCTGCATCTTCATCCCCATCTTCTTCCCCACGTCCTTGCCCGCACCACTGCCTCAAATCACGCCATGAAGAGGGCACCGACGGGAACAGAAACGCCTTCCGAGACCCGGGCGGGGTTTCGAAGAGCGCACGCCCCACCCCCGCGGGGTCGGTCCACAGAGGACGACAATGGCGCGACCAAGAGGGCGACGCGGGCACGAAGGGGGAAAAACGACAACCCCAAAACGCAGAAACGACAACGAGAGGGGGCGGGCAAGCAATCGTTTTCTTATTAATTCTTTTGCCGATCGGCGCGGGCCCTCGCACCCCCCCTCCCCCCTCCCCCTCATGGAGTAGATCTTGGCTGTTTTTTGGCGCCTGTTTCGAGCGGGTGGAGTCTCCCCCCATAGGACACACGGTTGCAAACAGTCGCATGAAGCAGAGGTCCAGAGCCAGAGCCCCCCCCCGCCCTCCCCCATTCCGCCCAGATGTCGAAACGCCGAATAAGAAAACGTTGGCGAGACACTTTAACCCGAAAGCGCAGAAACGACAACGCGAGGGGGCGGGAAAAGAGAGGGAGGCGACAGAGCGAAGAGACAAGACGAGACGAGGCAGAACGATGGGACGCGCAACCACGACCGCGCTGCAGTGTGGTCAGCCAGCTGTGGGATGCAGTCGGCCTAGAGCCAGGCGGGAGGGCAGGAGGAAGAGGGGGATGGGCCTTCAATGGATAATGCAATGCGACGGCTAGCATCCCCGAGCCGCGCTACACTTATTTTCCGAAGCGGCTTTCCACGCTGGGCCTGCTCCGAGCCACGGGCACCAACAGCTACGGCACGATTGACCTCGGGACGCCAGTGCTCCTCGGATGACCGCGGTCCACGGAACAAGATCGCGCAAATGCTGCACAACATACTTCAGCCAGAGGGTGATGATGCCGTTCCGCATGGCCGCGCTGATCTCAGGCAGCAGCACAATGTGCAGAATAGCCCGGTCAGGATGTGTCGCCACACGAACCCGAGCCTGGCGCCCAGCGGTGAGTTGGGCAACCACCCGCTCCAGCCTGGGACCAACGGCCATAGCGTGGCAAGGCGCACTGCAGAGCAGAGAACCACACGTGCGGTCAAATGGGCAGCGCCAAGGAAAACATCATCATCGTCACCATCATCACCCTCATCATCATGTTCACCATCATCACCATTGTCACCATCACCGTCATCACCATCATCACCGTCATCACCATCATCTTCATCATCACCACCATCATCATCATCATCGTCATCATTACCAGCATCATCACCATCATCATCATCGTCATCAGCACCACCGTCATCATCGTCATCAGCATTATCAGCATCAGCATCGTCATCGTCATCGTCGTCGTCGCAGCATCATCATCGTACTCATCTTCATCATCATTATCATCATCGTCATCGTCATCGTCATCATCATCATCATCGTCATTACCATCAGCATCATCAGCATCAACACCATTGCCACCCCCATCATTATCATCATCAGCACGATCATCATCATCATCATCATCATCATCATCATCATCATCGGCATCATCAGCAGCATCATCGTCATCACCATCACCGCCACCACCACCACCACCACCATGAGTATCATCACGATCAACCTCATCTTTAGCATCATCACCCGTATCCACCTCATCCTCCTCATCGCCCATACTCTCTGCTCATCAGCAACGTTATCCTCACCCGGTTCTTCGCCTGCATCCCCGTCCCATTCCGCAGCAATTTTTCCGGCCCAAGCCACACTGGCTCAAGCTCCGGGGCTCTGGCCTACCACGCCTGACGTTTGCGAACCGCTCCCGTGATGGCGCGCTCCAGCTTCGGTGCCCTGGCCCTCGCCGCGGCGTCCGCGTGGCTGCTGGCCGCGACCCTCTCGCCGGCCTTCGCCGGCACGGGCGCCCAGCCGTCCTCGGCTGCCCGGGGCGACCGCGTGGCCAGGCAGGCCGGAAGCGAGATCATGCTCACCGCACCGTCGATCGGCGGCCGTTACCGCGTGGTCATCGACGAGAGCACCACGGTGGAGTCGTGCCTCACCAAGTTCAGGAAGATCTTCGAGATCGACCAGGACTTCCTCCTCGACAAGGACTTCAACGTCTACCTGAAGGAGGACGAGGACAAGCCGATCTCCGGCAAGATCTCAGACCACACCAAGCTGCGCCCTTGGGGACCCGACGGCATCGAGCTCCACATCTACTACGAGCCGAAGTGAGCGAGCTCGCTCGCCCGCTGGCAGGGCTGAGGACAATGTTTTTGGCTGGGCACAGAAAAGGAGCTGGGATGGCGACCCTCGTGGGCGACAGACGTATCCGTACCCGCGGCCTTGCGGGCCAGGCCCCTGGGCCGCGACCCCGCGGATAATTACGGGGCGCTTTTTCGCGGATGCCTCGCGCGGAACGTATCCGTGCGACCGCGTATCCGCGCGATCGCAGCCCAGAATCAAGACCGCGAGGGCTCGGATACGGATGTGTTCGCCGCTCGTGATATTTCCTTCCCCCCTTCATCCCCCAATCAGGCTCCGCTTAAGGATCCCTCACTTATTTTGTGCAGGAAGGCTAGTGGCAATTTTTTCCCGAGGCTTGGATGTTTGGGATGCCCCACCAATTCATCTGGGCTATCCCCCCCAGGCCCTCGAGGCCTTTCCAAATCGACAAGCAGCGCGGTGCAATGCAACGCCATGCAATGCATTCCAGTGCGATGCAACTCAAAGCAAAGCCAGTGTAATGGAACATGCGAAATCGTTCGACGCTAAGCCGCGCAGAGTAAAGAATCGCAGCGCAATGCGACTCAACGCAGCTCCAGGCACAGCTGTTCAAAGCCAAGCAAGTCAAATTGAAGAGTGCACAGCAATGCATTTACATGCAGTCCGTTGTATGGCACGCGCGGCGAAGCACGCCAGAACATATATCAGCAACGAAACGCTGTAACATGTGCTAGCCTGCTCCCTTCGCATTGTGCTGGGCCCTAGCTCGTTCCGAGTTTCAGCTTGTCTGCAGTCTGGGAATTGCCGAGCTGGTCTCCAGCTCCTGCGCTTCAGAACTTTGAATTGCGGCCGCGCTGGCCTCATCGAGGAGGATTCGAGTAGGAGATCGACCACAGAATTGATTTACGCCGACTTTGTTTTTTTCGTCGAATCTACGAGATATATGCAGAATCGACGAACCAAATCACTTTCGGGGTACATCCATTCTGTAGTCGACCTCCTGCTCGAAGGATGAGGTGGTGCAGGGGGATGGGGAGGCATGGAGGATCCAAGGCCATGGCCACTTGGCCGTCGCAACCGGAGGCTCCGCCCGCCACCGCGGCACGACGGCGACCAGAGTTTCGGCACCCCGTTTTCGGACAGCAGATGATCACACGTCCAGGAGAAGGATGCTGCGACGCATCGGGGTTTCCGGAGCCAGGCTGGGCACAAGTGCAGACAGACATACAGGCAGACATACAGACAGACAGACAGACAAGCAGGCAACACCCGCGCTCAGACGGCGCATTGACGAGGAGGCTTGGGACAGATGGCGGCGTGCGGGCACAAGCAGACATGCACAAAGAGATGGACCATCGATGGCGCTGCAGGCGGCTCGGTTGTCGGCCATGAAGAAAAAGCTGTCTGTGCCTGCGGGACGAGATGCGTTGACCTGCAGACAGAGTGCAGGTGCATCAGAAACCCACGCAAGACGCTCGATCGCCGTAAGTTCCTGCACCGCCGCACTCCTGCCACCCGCACACACCCCAACCTCCGACCCCGGAAGCTTGCGCAGGCGTTTGCGCACACACATCGAGAGACAGGGCCCGCCTCGAGCGCTTGCCAAGTCTCCTTGCATCACCCCCGCGCAAGTGACGCAGAAGTCAATGGGTCTGCCTATCAGAGGAGCCTTGGCACAGACATGCGCGCATGGGGCCTCGGTGGAAGCTGGGCAGCCTTGCGGGCAATCATTCCTGTGCGGCTGGGGGCGGATGAGCCGAGCATCGGGAAGGACGCGTGGGCAGAAGAGTGCGCGATTGCCAGCTCTTCGCGAACTATCGCAAAGAAAGTGTTGCAGAGACACTGCGTGCACACAGAGACTCGATTGTGGTGCGGCTGGGGCGGAGGAGGAGGACGAGGAGTGAGCTACAGCAGGGACCAGCCTCGAATCGAGAATGGGCCGGTGCGTCCGCAATGGACCTGCTGACTGAGGTCAGAACCACCAGAAGAAAAGAGATGGCAGAGAGCGGACGTTGCGCGGACGGGTGGGGGCGATTCGCAGCTCTCGCAGCCCAGAAGGCCGCCCCTTCGACTGCACTATTGGACCCCGTCTCTCCAACTTGCGCCGTGGTTCGATTGCTGCCACGTCAACCCGACACGTCAGCTCGAGCGGGCCCGCACGAGCCCTCAACCCTTCGAGCCGAGTCCAACCTTGGCGACGCCGAAGCCCGCGGCCGAGATCCATCGATTGACTGATTCTTCAGCGGCCCTTTCGTGGGCCCTCTGCCCAGAGCTTCGCTCCGCGAGGCACTTCGCAGCCTCGCTCAGCAAGACGGAGCCTGCGCCGGGAGGCTCGGAAGCGTCCTCTTGGCGTTCCCGATCGCCTCCTCTAATTACCTGGACCTGCAGGTCCTCGTTGATCGTGGCTCACCGCCCCTGTCAGGCAAAAAGGTAGGTGACAGAAACAAATCGGCGACCGAAAGCGTGCCCGAAGCCGTGACCGAAAGGGTCGTGCGAACGAAGTTGATCGTCTTGGCTTCGAGCCGATCATTTCGGTCACACGCGGACGCGGTCGGAAAGATTCGGATGCCGGACATCGATTTGGGCACAGTTTCGGTCACGATGCCTCCCTGATAGAGACGAGGCTACGTGACGTTGACGGGGTGAACCAGCACCAGCCCGAGCATGGCGCGCAATTCCGCTTCGAGCTCGTGGAGTTTACGATTGTTTGGGCCCGTCCTGCTCAAACATTGGCACCGCCAAAACATGTTTCTACTCAACAGGCTGGTCGTTGAAAGTAGGTATTCTCTGGAAGATGGATCTACTACAAGGTGGGTACATTCTATGTTCGAGTCGGACGCGCCTCTCCAGGGAGGACATAGCGTACTAGTATGTCTCTGTGCGTCACGTAGCGTCATGGATTCGAAGAAGAAAGAAGAATAATAAGAAAAATAATAATAATACGAATAATAATAAAAATACACATAAGAATCATAATAATAATAATGATAATAATAAAAATAATAATAATAAGAAGAATAATAATAATAAGCCATGAACATAAGTTTTTGGCGCTCCGCGCGGATCTCTTGGATCCGCGCTGGGCCCCCCTCGCGGCGTCGCCGGCGCCGCCCCTGGTGCGCGCCGCGCGCCAGGGACGGGGGGCCCAGCGCCGATCCAGGACATCCGAGCGGAGCGCGACCAGTTTTTTTTTCGATGGCGTTTTTCGATGGCGTTTTTTCCTCTGAAGCCACACCGCTCTCCTGGGCATCCTCCCCGACCGGCCGACCCGACCGCCCCGCGGCCTCGGGGAGCCCTGCCCCTCCAGCTCCCGAGGCCTCGCCCTGGCCGCGCGCCGTGCCGCGGCCCGGCGAGGGGGGGCGCTCGGCCCCCGCCGCCTCTCGTTCCGGAGGGAAACTCAGAGCGTGAATTACCTACCCCGCTTTCGCTTCCAGGCAAAACCAAGCCATACCACGCGCCTCCCCGTCAAGCTGCTTGACCGGTACAGGCTGCAATATGGCATCGCTTGGTATCTCTTGGAAGCGAGGGTGGTCAAAAGCGAGGTAGGTTTGTTTTCCCCCTAGAAACAAAAACACACACACACACACACACAGACACAGTGAATCGTCGAATCCCAGGAAAATATGCGAACATACGGGAAGTGGGGGGAAGACAAATACCCAGAAAATGTAGGAAAATATGGGGGTGTGCGTATTTCCTTGTGTGTCCTGGGGCCCTTGCAATCTCACCGTCGCGGGGCCGCCCTTCTCCTCTCTGGGCCTCCCAGGTGGGGTCGGAGCAGGGGTCGGAGGATCGCGCAGCATCGCCGATGCATCGCCGGTGCGGCGGAATGCGGGAGCCCGAGTTGCTTCACGTCGACGTCGTCGCTGCATCGCCGATGTCGACGTTGCATCGCCAATGCATCACCGATGCATCGCCGATGCATCGCCAATGTATCGCCGATGTATCGGCGATGCGGCGCGATCCTCCGACCCGTTCTACTCCGACCCCATCTGGGAGGAGGAGGAGGAGGAGGAGGAAGAAGAGGAGGAGGAATAGGAGGAGGAGGAGGAGGAGGAGGAGGAGGAGTAAGGGAAGGAGAAGGGGGAGAGGAGGGAGGAGGGAGGAGGGGTGAGGGAGGACGGGGGATAGGGGAGCGGGGACTGAGGAGGGAGGAGGGAGGAGGGAGGAGGGAGGAGGAGGAGCAGGAAGAGCATGGATCTTAGATGAGGTCGTGGGGGGGGAGGAGGGTTCCATCCAGACGTGAGCTGACGTCTAGCCTCGGCTCCCAGCAGCATGGGCCGCCCAAAGGCGGCGAAAGGCGAAAGGCACTACAAAAGAACAGCGCGACGAGTGGGGGACCGAACGAGGGCCAGAAAAGCGAAACGAAACAAGGGCCAAGGCAGACACCACGGCGGAGGGACAACGACCGAGGAAGAAACCGAGGCCCGAACCCACGCAGGGATGTGCAGAGGGAAGTGACAACTGCATCACATTCCATGTCGGGTATACGACACACAGGTTCGCAGTCAATTGCAACGGAAGCTGCGCTCTTCATGC